TGCTGGTTTCCCCTCAGCATAATTTGTCTTGCTGGGCTCTCACAAATGTGAGCCTTGATAATTTTTTCAAAGACTTTGCCAAGGATGGAGGTGAGACTGACTGGCCTATAGTTGCCCGGGTCCTCCTTCCTCCCCTTTTTGAAAATGGGGACCACGTTGGCCCTTTTCCAGTCCTCCGGGACTTGGCCCGTGCGCCACGAGCTTTCAAATATTCCCGCCAGTGGCTCTGCAATGATGTCGGCCAGTGCCTTCAGCACCCTTGGATGGAGCTCATCCGGGCCTGCCGACTTAAAGGCATCCAGTTCTTCCAAATGACTCTGCACCATCTCAGGGTCTACGCATGGTAGTCTGGCGCCTTGCTGCTGCCTCTCTACAACCCCAGTGAGAGACTTGTCGTGCCCCTCACTTAGGAACACTGAGGCAAAGAACTCGTTGAGGAGTTCAGCCTTGTCCCCTCTGTCCGTCACCAATTGTTTCTGCCCATTTAGCAGGGGTCCTATTCCTCCCTGGGCCTTCCTTTTACTCCCAATATATCTAAAAAACAATTTCTTGTTGTCTTTTACTTGGGTTGCCATCCTCAGCTCCATGGTAGCTTTGGCCCATCTAACTGCCTCCCTACAAGCACGAGCAGAGGAGGTATATTCGTCTTTGGTGATCTCTCCCTGTTTCCACTTTTTATGTGCTCCCCTTTTGTCCCTTAGGCTGCCCTGGATTTCTCTGGTCAGCCAGGGAAGCCTCCTGGCCCCTTTCCCCCTTTTGCCTCACTCAGGGATCGTCTTGCTTTGTGCCCGAAGGATTATTTCCTTAAGGCACAGCCACCCTTCTTGGGCTCCCATCACTTCAAAACTCCTACTCTGCAGTGCGTCCTTGACTAATCGCCTGAGTTCATTGAAATCAGCTTTCCTAAAGTCTAGCACTTTCACCCTACTTGTTACCTTACCCACTCGACGTCTTATGGTGAATTCTATTATTAGGTGACTGCAATTACAAATCAGGTATCCAAGCAGATAAATTTAGTCAAGATTTAAGGGCACAAATAATGTTGCTTTTAATTTGCATACATATTTAATTGTGCTCACAAAGTAGTGTTCCCAAAGTAGAGTCTGTGCTGAAGCCTAGCTGTAAATCAGTGTCTGCATTACCTGGTCCAAGTCATTTCGTAAGGCAATTTTGCTTGTTACAAGTTCATGGGCAAGGTCGTCGTTTTCCTGCTCCAGCCGCATACTGGCTTCTTGCAGCCTGCGGTTCTCCCTCTGCAGAAAGACAGAACAACCAGAAGTTAATTCTTACCCATTTTAAAGGAAAGAATAAAGACAAGTGAATATAGGGTGTGTGTAAAAAACTGAGAAGGCAGGAGTGCACAGTAAGACAATTTGCTGCTTTAGAAAACAAACAGTGAATTAAGCCAGCAGTGCAGATGCAGTATCCTATCTGACAGGGCCCTTTTAGAAAAATGGAGCCAAAACACTACTAGGAAAGTGTATCCTGAAAGGCAGCAATTCCATTTATATCCCTATAGTGTTTCTTATAAAGCAAAGGCTATTTGTATTTGAGAGACAGAAATGACACACTGATTATAGGTTTTTCCTGTTGAAAGCAAGAAGCACCTCTCTTTCTGCAGTAATCAAGGGAAATTGGGTAGATGATAAAATCCTAGATAGCACACAATGATAACAAGAGATGCTCTTAATAGTGTTTTCAGGTCCAGAGTAGAATCTGCCTTGCTCCATTTTCTTCAATCTTGACCTCTAGTGTTCCATAAGAATAATATGTTCTGAAAATGATGTAATATCAACTGTCCATCAGTAAAGAATAGCACTCAGCAGCAAAACCTTCTGCAGCTCAAGTGACCTGAACTCTCCCTCTGCTCACTTTCTTCAAGATGTGTGCAAGTGATACTGAGTGTGCATGCCAAGCAACACCTGCAAAGAGGAGTGCCAATACAGAAGATGTTTTTAGATATCTAGACAAACAGCAGATATCTAGAAACATGTATTAAGTGATGCAGATCAACTTAGAAATGCAAAAATATTTAGCTTATAGAAGACTGTGGGCTTAATTCTCCCCCTGCCTCATGCCTTATTTAATTGCTTAGCCTTGTGCAAAGTAGTAGAAAAATGCTATCAAATCAGAATAGGTATACTGGGAAAGAAGGGAGAGAGGAATAATTACTGGTTTTTAAAAATTTACATTCAGAATGTTGTTCTCTCTCAAAGAGCTGCAAAGCAGAGACATTTGTTAAAAGATGCGTGTCAGGGTGAGCAGAGACAACTTGTCACCCTTCTAGACTATGGGAGCCCCTTCTAGCCTCTCAAGCCAGACTACAGATACAGGGACTGAAACTCAAATAGATTTGCAGGGAGCAAAGGAGTTGCTTGCTTTCATCCTGTTTAAAGACCTGCACTCTTTTACACTACGGGAAAGGACTGGGAAATCTATGAATGATACAACATCAAGAGAAAATGTCAAGTTTTTTATATGAAGGATTTGCTCATGGTTGAGAAAGGGACAATCACCGCATACTGAAATTTCAGAAAGACTCTTTCATTACTTGAGGACAAGTAATAGATTGCCAATTTTCCATATTGAACAGAAATAAAAATAAATGTGTTACAGCATCTGGGTCAGAAAGAAATCAGCTTGTTAATAAAATTCCATGGGTTATTCAACCAATACATTGCTACAAAATATGAATTCACAGCAATCCCAATAAAAGTATTTTTTTTGTTCTAAACCCCAACAGAGCAAGCCAGTTCTGCTTCTACTCTTCTTGCAAGAGCATTTCACATGCTTGCCCAATAGAGAAAAGGAGAACTATAGTAAAAAAGGATATATAAAAAAGTAAATAAAAAACAGCTTGCTTGCTCTGTGCCAGGAAGTGAAGTCTTTGTAAATACCTAATTTTCTGTGTGATCTTAATTAAGCAACTGCAGGCCTGAAATACTTTGCTCTGCAATACAGTGCAGTCTAGTAAATTTGTTTCTTTTTAAAAGAGATCATACATTAAAAAAAGTATTACTTTGTCACATAAACTTTTTGACCTAAAGAGCCTGTTTCTTGGGATCTGACGCAGTCAAAACGTACTTCTAAAAACCAACAGACTCATAACCACATCATTTGTCTGCTTTTTGAACTTAAATTACACCATATTCTGCTATAAAGTTCTTAAAATGATAATTCTTCAGGTAGAGGTAACATACACTTCACTGCAAAGCTAAACTCATCTTCAGTAAAGCTATCAATTGTCCTTAGTTCAGAATTTTGTTCACAATATCTAAGAAATGCTAATTAAATTGACAAGGATAGCTGCCTGACTGACTGCATAGATGAAAGAGACTCAGCTTTACTTAAATCTTCAGACTAGATAGGAATGGTAATGCCAAAATTTATTTTATAGCAATTGTAACACTGATGCCTTTTTAAAAGGGAATTTTTTTTCAAAAAAAAGGAAGACATCAGCCAGATTCCTCAGCCTTACATGAAATAACCCTGAAAGATGGTTTGCTTTATATCATTTGCTATGCTTTTGCCAAAAGCTTGAGTGTTCGCAAAGCAAGCATCATAACGTGAGATTTCAAACTCCTGCTCTGCACTTGCACAAAAGTGGAGAAGCAAGCTATGTGGTTGGAAATGCACTATCCTCCTCCCATTAGGAATCTGCATGACAGGTTTTAAAAACATTGATGTGTCCTACCTCTCATTTCAGCTGCTGGCGATCATCTGCTTAGTCTCTGCTTCTATATGATTTTGTTTTCTATTTTAGGATTATTTCTCAAGTTGATTTTAATCTTCGTTTTCTTCAGAACAATGAATGTAAAGTCTAAGTGTGATTATTTGCGATATGTCTTCTCCAGCCGTTCCCTAGAGCCTATTAATAAATAACTGCCTGCTTCCTCAGGAGGAAATTCTTGATTCTATTTAAATTCCACTAAGCAATTATATTAACAGTAAAGAGGAAGATACTAAACTCTGGCTTGCACAAAAGAAGTAAGCTAACTTTGATGCTTCTGAAGTATTTTGCAGGGTTTGACCCAGCCTTTTGTGCAGAGGGAGCAATCTATAAGCTCAGTTTATATATTATCTGCAGCAGGACTCAGAGCAGAGCAAATATTTTGTAACCTCCCATGAGCCAACCTGTCAGACCTGCTACATGTAAACAAAGACTCCCTAATAACTTCCTGCCTCTTATCTCTAACTAGCAATACTTATAAAAGTTTGTAAACTGCACTGTTTTTATTATCACTCAGTTTACACAATCAGTAAAGTAAAAGATGCAGTTTTCCCAAATAGTCTGCTCCCTCTCGCCACAGAGGGCAGCTGATGAAGTTTAGTTATAATGCTGTTAAAAGGAGGATACTGCATTTCCAAAACAAAGAAAAATGACAAACACCAGTATCACATACATAAACAAATAAACTTACCTCCTGAAAAGTCACAGACCAACTACTGCTTTCAACCATTCGTGTAAAGACAGTGAAAACAGGATATACAGTGAATTTTAAATACCAACAAAAATAATCAGGAAACCCAAAAAAACTCAAAATCCTAACTTGCTGATCCTTTTTGTTTGTTTTTTTTGGTTTGGTTTATAAACGTAGGGTCTATTCCAACTTCTATCTATTAAAGCAGATGTTTGATTGAAAGAGGAAAGCTGAACTGAAACCAGTAGGCAAGTCGCAAGTCAGGAAGACTAAAAGGCTAAATAAACTCCACCCTCTGTTATCCTCAAGTTAGCATGAAGGAGGAATATAAGAGATGATTAGCGATGATGATGCAAACGATTCTCACTGGTGTTATTTGAACTGGGTGTGGCTCAGGTTCACAAACCTTGCTAAAATCTTAATTTTCAAATTGGTATGACAAAAAGGAGATCATTGAACATGGACATTTCTTACTGATGGGAAAAAAAGATGGATTAAAATTCATATTCTTGGATATCAGTAAGACTCAAGTCTTGATGAGTCAGCACAAAAGAACAGTTGATTATGAAATGGATTCCAAGAAGGAAAAATTAAGGAATATAAATCGTCTAAAAAGCCACAATGCTTTAACAAAAAAAAAATATCCAATAACAAGAGACTATGTGGAAAGCGTCACAAAATTTTTCACTGTGTTGTCTGCTACTATGATGATTACTTGGCTCTGTTTTTAAGGAAACATTTCAGCCAGCGTCATGTTGTAGTTTGTTTCAACTACACATATTAATAGTGATCCGTTTATAGTTCTCTTGCATGCAGGGTTTCCACTACACCAAAATGATAATTACCTGGTTAATTTGTATTTAGTGACGCTTCGGATCTACAAAAAGGTCAATTTTTGGGTTACATTTAAAGTCTGATTATAACTTCTCCTTTACACAATAAAGTACATACAGCTGTCGATATTTCTAAGGTCCAAAGGGCTCTGTGTAGATGCAGAGTCTGCCTGGAGGATCCTGTCCTTTATTTGTGCAATTACACAAATTACTTTTGCCAGGATTCACTAGTTTTCCTCACCAGAGATCAGGCCACAACCCCGTGCTAGATATGGAAATGTCTCAACAGTTTGGAACAACCACCTGAAGGATGAGGAAAATATCAGAACTATTTTGCTGGTTTTCGTGGGAATGGAACTGTTTTTACTGGCTTTTACTGACAAACTGGAATGCATTTTAACTGCCATTAAATTCCAGCGACCAACTTCCAGGAAGCAAAATCCAGGACACAGTCCCGGATGCACCACAATCCTCTGCAACCTGGGAGTAGTTTACACAATTTCTGGTTCTGGTTAGAGCAGCCACTTCAGCATGGGGCTGGAGGAGGGCTAATTAATCCTTCTGAAAGGCGGAGCTAATTGGCTGGGCTGGGGGGGCAGGGGGGTACTGGATGTATGTGGCTATCTTGCCAGGGTGAACCAGTGTGCTGGATCCAGCCCAACAAGCAATTTTATCAGGCCCACGAATCTGGAGTTTTGGCAGTTGGGGGCAATCAGGAATCCATGGCAGCAATCGGTTGTGGGGGGGGGAAATCAGCAGCAGGAGCTGGGGCAGCCAGCTTGCAAGCTGTGGCTCACCTTTGGACTGAGCTGCATTAATGCAACCCACTGTTACTAGAAGCTCACTGACCCCTGTACTAGAGGACAGCCATTTAGCCTATACTTCTTTTTGAATGTCTGTAAAAACCAGCTGTGAAAAATGTCGTGTTATATTTTTTTAACGTAAAAACTGAACAATAAAATTATCCCTCACCAGAAATATGTCTATAAGAATTTAGTA